TATTTTTGAACATGAAATACTATTGACCAAGCAAGTGGAAGCAAACATAAACAAATGGGATTACATGAAACTAAGAAGCTTCTGCACCTCAAAAGAAACAGTGACCAGGATACAAAGCCTACGGAGTGGGAAAGGATATACACCCAAGACCCTTCTGATAAGGGATTTATATCAAGGATATACAAAGCACTGGTTAAACTCTACAAGAAAAAAACCCAATCCCATCAGAAAATGGGGTGATGAAATGAACAGAAATTTTGTCAAAGAAGAAATTCGAATGGCCAAAAGGCACATGAAAAAGTGCTCTTCATCGATAATCACCAGAGAGATGCAGATCAAAACAACAAAGAGATATTATCTCACACCACAGAGACTGGCACACATCCAAAAGAACAAAAGCAACTGGTGTTGGCATGGATGTGGGGAGAAAGGGATTCCCTTTCACTGTTGGTGGGAATGGTGACTGATCCAGCCATTTTGGAAAACAATTTGAACACTTCTCAAAAACTAGAAATCGACTCCCATTTGGCCCAGCAATACCACTTCTGGGAATATACCCTGGGGGCCCAAAAACACAGCAGAAACACCATCTGCACTCCTATGTTCATTGCATCACTATTCACAATAGCCAGAATCTGGAAACAAGCTAAGTGCCCAACAACAGAAGAATGGATAAAGAAACTATGGTACATCTACACAAAGAAATACTATGCAGCTATCAGGAAAATGAAGTCATGAAATTTGCCTATAAATGGATGGATATGGAGAGTATCATGCTGAGTGAAATAGGTCAGAAGGAGAGGAACAGATATAGAATGACTGCATTCATTTTTGGTATATAAATATACAGATGAGTAGAATAATAATATCCACCGCCAGGGAAAACAGTAGTTAGGACTGGTCAGTGGTTGGAACTAACCCAAGTGTGTGTGGGGCTGAGGGTAGGTAAGATAGAGAAGAGACCACTATGACAATAATAGCTGGGAACGATCATGCTGGAAAAGATTGGAGGGTTAAAGGTAGGTAAAGGATATTCTGGATAACCTTTCAGTATGAATACTGCAAACCACAGTGCCCAAAAGGGGGGAGAGAGAGAGACAGAGAGAGAGAGAGAGAGAGAAGAAAAGGCCTGCCATAGAGAAAGGGGATGGGGGGATGGGGGATGGGGGTTGGGGGGTGATGGGAGGGAACCTGGGGACACTGGTGCTGGGAAATGTACACTAGTGTAGTGGTAAGTGTTTGGAATACTGTATGACTGAAATCCAATCATGAACAGCTTTGTAATATTGTATCTCACAGAGATTAATAAAAATGCTTTAAAAATGTTGTAAAAAGACAAAAATATAAATATGTTAATAATTTTAATAAGCAGTGAGCACATAAGGAAAATATATTTTAATTTTTTTTGGAAAATATAGATTAATTATAATTATGCAAATGCCACGGAAAACAAATCATAGAAAAAAAGAATCCTAGCAAAAATGAACAATCAAAATTAAAAGCTTCTTCAAGCAAAATAAACTCAAGCTATAAAAAAGACACCAGTTGAATGGGGTAAAATATTTGCACTCAATTCATCAGTAAAGGACTGATATCCAAGATCAATGAAGCACTCAAAAAAGTAACAACTAAAAATCCAGACCCCGTCCACAAATGGCATAAGGAGATTAATAAAAGCTTTCTTGAAGGAGACATACAGATGGCCAATAGACACGAAATAGTGTTCATCATCACTTATGATTAGGAAAATGCTAATCAAAACATGGAGATATCATCTCACGCCAATGAGAATGGCACATATCAGATATCAAAAAATAGCCAATGTTGGTGGGGTTGTGGTGAGAAAGGAACTCTCATCCACTGCTGGTGGGAATGTCTTTTGGTTCAGCCTTTATGAAAAGCAATATGAAAATTTCTACAAAAAATAGGAATACAGCTTGCATACAACCCAGTGATATCAGTTTTAGGCAGACACAAAAACACAAATACAAAACACAAAAACATTAATTTGAAAGGAGATAAGCAAAACTTTTGTTCATCACCTCCCTTAGTACAATAGCCAAGATATGGAAACATGGCAGCCACACCCACGTCCCACCACCACCAGCATGTAAGCTCATCTACAGGTCCGGTTCCAGAGACTCATAATTAAATCTCACAAGAGATCAACTATCTGCAAAAATTTCTTGGATAAACTGGTTCTGATGAGGCTTCTGGGGTGATCTTGGGAGGAGGTTGGGCCATCCGATTATCAAAGCCCAAAGCCCTGGCAACTTCACTCACACCCCAAAAACTGCCATCATATCTCTTGCCAGACTCCACCATCTCACAACTGAACTCCACAGAGATGCTAACTTGCCAAAAATTTTAGGAACGCCAGGGGCTTTTTTGCTGAAAAATTCTGGCCTTCTCAGAGTCGGGGTGGGTGACCACCCCCCAGTTCCTAATACACCCTGAAGCTCCAGCAGTCACACCCACATTCCACCATTGCCACCATGTAAGCTCACTGCCCAGTTAAATATTCTAGATTTTTTTTTTTTATTTTTGGTAGTGTGTGGCCTCAGATGCAGCAGCATCTCCAAAACTCTACATTACTGACATCCTAGTAGGAGCTCACCAGAAAAAAGAATCAAAAATGAACAAAGCTTCAAAAATGAACAAAAATGAACAAAAAAAGCTTCTTCAAGCAAAATAAACTCAAGCTATAAAAAAGACATCAGTTGAATGGGGTAAAATATTTGCACTCAATTCATCAGTAAAGGACTGATATCCAAGATCAATGGGATGGGAATATGACATAGAAGAAGCCAACTTTGCACAACAGAAACATCAACACAGATCAAAAATAGCTTAGTAACACCTTTAGACAAGGACTAAAGTAGTTTTTGATTATTCCATTATCCATATAATGGTAACTTGCAATATGAAATATATCATTGTGGGCATGCCACGAGGAGACGTTTGAAGGTCGGTTGGGAAAATGGAGGTAATGGTGAGGGGAAGGTGACAGTAGTGATGGGATTGGTGTTGAAATATTGAATGTCTGTGATAAATCATCACTTTGTAAACCATGGTGTTTAAATAAAGAGAGAAAAGATATGGTACAACCCAAAATGCCCAGCTACAGATGAATGGATCAAGAAGTTGTGGCTTATAAACATGAAGCAACACGATACATCTCTAAAAAAGAACAAAATCATGCAACTGGCCACAATACAGATGAGACTAGAGGATATCATACTGTGTGAGGTCAGTCAGAAAGAAAAGAAAAATTCATACTTATTTGTCTCCTATGTGGGACTGACTATGCACAGCCACAACAACTGTCACAACAAAGGGCCAAAGGCAACACAATGAGAGAACTGAGTTGGGAGGGTTGAAGTAGAGAACCCTCCCTCCCAGAGAACCCCTGGGGTCCTTGGGGAAGGGAGATGGACACATTGGAGATGGGTGTGGTTTTGGAAGGGGTACACAGGAAATCATCATTGACGGCATTGTCCATCCCAAAACACCAATCAGTTAAAAAATGTTTTAAAAAGAATCCTGGTTAGGACACTGCAGGGGAAAGATACAGAGACTGAAACTGGTCAACTGTTCAGAAGAAATGGAGCCTAATTCTGATTGGATAAAGTAAGCAGAAAGGTCAAAACATGTAAAAATTGTCTTAAAAATCTGTAAATAAGGTCAAGGAGTGAGGTTCTGTTTTGAAGGTGTGTAGCATCAGTGGAAGTTATTAGAGGGAAATAACAGCTGTATTTTAAATACTCTGACAGCAGCTATGTGCAAGTTAACTTAATACAAATCTAGCCTAAGATTCCTCTAGAATTCTATACCTCCGAACATAACCATATTTAAGATGCTAAGTTCTAGAATGAGAGTATTGACCTGAGAAATGCATTATTATTTGTTGAGCACTGTTTTGTTTTATTTAGTTTTTGCAAGGGGTGAGCCCAGAAATACACTGCCAATCAGAGTAGGTGATCCAGTGCTAGGGCCTGACCATGTGGTCCCAATTGGGTCTCGACTTATAATGCCAGTGATCACCAGAGCCACCTTGGTGTTTGGTGGGACCATGTGGGTTTTAAATTTAGGTAACACATGTTTAAAGCATATGCCCCCCTGACCACTGAACTATGTCCCAGCAAGCTCAGCACTGTTCATTGTATTCAGTATGGCATCATTATGTTGCTGTTTAAAAATAATATTTAAAGTTTAAAAATAATGTTTGAATATAGTCACAATACCCCTGTAAAATTCTAATGATAGATAAATGATTACATTCACTGTACTAATATACCAGGGTAATTAAAAAATTAAGATTTTGAAAAACGTGCTCGAATAATGATAACTTACTGAATAATAACACTGAGCAACATTAAACAGGTTGTAATTAACTAGGAGGTAGGGTCCGAGAGAGTACAGCTGGCAGGGCACATTTGTGTTGCATGAGATGATCTTGAGATCTGCAAGGAGTGATTCCTTGGCACAGAATCAGGATTAAGCCCTGAGTACCTAGGTGTTAACCTCCCTCCAATAAAATCCCGAATTGTAATTAAACTAGGGGGTATTTAAATTTAAATAATACATCTTGAAACTTCTTTTGCAGGGCTTTTTCTCTCTGCAGGACTGTCTATACTCTACACACACACACACACACACACACACACACACACACACACACACGAGTGCATTTCCTTACCTGAAGACTCAGATTGGAACAGATTTGTCTGGCGATTTGACATCCCTCTATATTCAGAGCTTAAGTTTTTTGTATTACTCAGGCCAGAATGCTTCTGATGGTAGACATAGGCGGGATAATAACCTGATGATTCTTTTCTATTCTCCACTTCTAGCTCAGACTTTGGCAAATTCTGACTCATAAATAGTATTCGGTCTTTGGATTCAGTATCTAATCAATGCACAGGAACCATGAGACACAGTACTAGAAAAACTGGCAATAAAAATGAAAGAAAGCTGTTTGCTTCATTCATACAGTGTACCTGTTTGCTGCTTCAACTCATGGGCTTTCATTTTTGCGGTGTATTTTTGCCTTATATGTTTGGCAAATTTAGCTGGATTGTCCCATGGTATGTCGAACATCTCAGAATTGGTACCAAAAATCATTTTAGCGGGCTTTAAGATCCCTTCTTCATCCACCTCGGAGAGTTTTAGGCTCTCAAAGGTAAACACTTTGAAGGCTCGTTCTACTTCATTCCAACTCAAGACTTCTGTAAGAAAAAAGGACCATAGTTGCTAAGAATGTTCTTATTGCCACCTGGACAACCAGAGCCCACTAGAGTGACCAAGGAGTGATTCCGTGGTGGAAGTTGATTTGAGTTTAGACACAGGCTCCATAATACTGTAATAAATATGTCCCTCAAGCCCCACTAGGAATGAGCCCTGAATGTAGAGCCAGGAGCAAGCCCTGAGCACAGCTGGTTGTGGTCTCAAAACAAACAAACAAAACCATATAGTGAGGCTATAATTTATCATAATAATGCCCCCTCAATTGACTATATCAGTATTAGGTACTCACATTAATTCACATGAACCTTCCAGGGTACCCTACAGGTTGAATATGCTAAAATTTATTATTCATAAAATCTTTGCTACTGTTGTACTTTAAAACTGAAAAATGACTCAGATATAATATTCACTGTTCTTGCCAGAAGAGGCTCCTGTTAACTAGGGCTCAGGACAGGACTTCTTCCACCCTCACAAACTAGAATGGGTGAAAAGTGGCACTTTCCATAATTATACCTCAAAGGTTATCTCCTCCCAAATGGCTCAATTCATTTGTTCTTTTATGTCACTTATTCAGAATGTGAATGTTTACTTTTTTCCCCCTAAGTACTAGGCTTTGACATAGGTGCCTGAGATTCAAGAAAAGATTTGGCTCTCACAATTAGAAGTTCAAATTAGCAGATGGGAAGTTGTCACTAACAAATAAGCATTAAATTTAAAAAAAGATGAAATGGTAATGGCAGATTCAGGATTCACAGTTCACCTCCATTATTGCTGAAAGAGATGAGGACAATGGTGAATTCATATTTAAAAAATCAGTGAGATTTAGAAGAGACAGAAGAGATACAAATGGCAGAATCAAGGGCAGTTTGCACATTTATTCATTTCACAAATATATTTTTAGTACCTGCCAGTAGTGATTGATTATTTAAAAAAGAAACCTGGGACCACAGCATTGATCAAGTCAGTCTACTCCCTGATATCACCAACTACTCATTCAAGGGCTTTAGGCTGGAAACAGTGAACAGGTCAGCAACAGTAAGATAACCAAGTCAAGGAAGTTGATAAAGTGACAATGGTTGGAAGGGGATTCTGTTCCATATAAGGTTGAGAGAAATGATGCAAAAATGTGAAATGGGATTTGCTTTAGTAAATGGTTGTCCATTTTCTATAATCCCAGTGATCTCTGCTATGAGATGCTGATATTGAATTTAATTATTATCTCCTCTTACCCACCATCCTCAAAGAACACAAAATGGTTCTTCCTGTTGAGAGAGGAAATGAATTAGAAGCAGAGCACTTAGTACCATGACCACCAACAAGATAATCCATCTTCCTAATTAATCCATCTTCTTACCCAGGATAGGGAGACCACTGTCCTCTCCTGTGATGTCCAGGAGGGATTTTGGTTTGGGGTGAGAAGGAGAAGGAAAGAAGATTATTCTTATTGTGGAAACAACAATGGGAATGAAACTGACCTCAAATGGAAGAATGGAATGCATTGGAGTTATCCAACTATTGTTAAGGACATGATTCCAGGTAGGAAAACTGGTGTCAAATAAAATACCCCATCCCCAGCTTCCAAAAAGTCTTTCGAATAATCAAAATACTTCTGTAAAGAGGGATTTAATCTTAAGAGTAGAAATGAACGAATTAGATTGAACTAAAACCAAATATTGTGCTCACCATTTGTACAAAAGTGCATGAGCTCATGAATTGTAGCGAGACGTTTCGTGCTGTTCCCTGGACGGGGCAGTGGAAAATTGAGGAATTCCCACAGTGGCAACTTGGACAGCATCTCCTCCTCAATTTGAATTGGGTCGAAAATCTTTTGGTCCTGATGAAAAAGAACAACATGACAGAAGACATTAAGAGCAACCTGTCAAGTGCCTTATACATATGGAGAAGGCAAAATGTGATATCTGTGCTCTCATTATTTGGGAATGGGGGAAATCACAGTAATTGGGGAAGACAAACTCTTGGGTTTTCGCTGAAGTTCAAAAACACTAGTTCTCACATTACAGGAGGTTCCTGACACACAGAACTGCCTGATTCTTCATCACTGTGACAAAATGCCAAAGATGTGTATACATCTTTCCCTTCCAGGGTTCTACTCTAGCCTCTGCTTGTTTCCCACAGCAGTCAATATTTGAGACAAATAATGACGAGAATTTAATGCAAATTTCTTTCCATGGCAGTTTAGGGGTTAATTGGACCTCTACAGTTGGGCAAGTTTTCTTTGCAAATGCCATTTCCTCCTGATCCAGCTGCACTCTCAGAGACTTCACATTGTAAACAGGCATTCATTTCGCATTTTATTCTGAATTGAATAGAGCCACCTAACAGAGATTTCTCCACAATTACAAACACACGTTCTTGCATCAATCATGTAAAAAAACTCACTCGACTATTACCTTCAAGGCATACTTCTTATGGGCATGAACATCGTGATAGTTCAGTAGGAGGGGGCCAGTGTGCACAGCCTTGCTTTCCTCTTCTTCACATAGGAATATTTTGTGGAGGTTCTATTCAAAGTGAAACAATACTGATGTAAAGAGATAATCCAAACTTTTTCAAAGCATGCAAACTTCATGCCTTTCTTAAGCCATCTGACCTTTCTCTGCTTCTCAGTGAGGCAAAGAGAGGGCAAAATGGACACAATGTGGGATGCGATTCTTTGGTCCAACCCATCTGCTCTGGAAGGTGGTGGGGCCAGACTAGGGGGGAGAGTATCTTCTTCAGTTGCCACAACCTGTTGAAATAAATAGTTGGAAGGAATCAGTTTCATGGTCAGACTCTTATTAACATCTGCATATTTCTTCCATAGCTTAGGAAAAACAAGGTAATTTCTTTCCATGAAGTACAATGGTCATGTAAAGTGGCCATTTAATTACCTGTGTCAATCAGTATGAATAGAAAATGCATAAAATCCATGCATTAAAATAGATAAAATTTTAAAACATGCATTAGAATTGATGTCATGAAAGACAAATGGTATCCAAGAAATTTTTTCTATAGTAGACAACAAAATAATTGTAATAGCACTGTAGCACTGTCCTCCCCTTGTCTATTGATTTGCTCGAGCGGGCCCAGTAACGTCTCCATTGTGAGACTTTGTTGTTACTGTGTTTATCATATGAATACGTCACAGGTAGCTTGCCAGGCTTTGCCATGCAGGCGAGATACTCTCGGTAGCTTTCCGGGCTCTCCAAGAGGGGCGGAGGAATCCAACTCGGGTTGGCCAGATTGGCCACATGCAAGGCAAACACCCTACCCACTGTGCTATTGCTCCAGCCCAATTGTAATATATTTAAAAAAATGATTTATTCTCTCAAAACACTCAAAACTGTGCACACAAACCTTTAGACAGATCCAGCACCATAAAAGTTCTATTTCCTGGACATGATCTCGTTTAAGTCTCACACCTGTACTGTGCATAGGCAGTATTTTCCATTTGATAAAGGAATAAACTGAGGTGAGTAAGCTTAGGTAACTAATTCAAACCAAGTTTATTTACGGGGAAGAATGAAATTCGGACCAAATCCTCATTCTTAGTATAGAAAAGTTATGGAATTGGAGAGAGAGTACAGCAGATAGGGTCCTTGTCTTATATGCAGCAGACCCAGGTGTGATCCCTGGCACCCCATATGGTTCCCAAAGTACCACAAGAAGTGAGCCCAAGACAACAACAAAAAAGAGGAGAACTCGGAGAGAATGAGATGAATAGTAAGTTTCTCTTACATGTGGAGGTAAGGTTTAGAAAGATGAAAAACTTGAATTTTACATGATAAAAAGTTAAAACAGGCACTTAAATGTATTGTTTGCCTCTTTACCTTAAATCTCCAAAGGTTCTGAACCTGGAACATAAGATGTTTGAAACTGGATGAATATTTGTGAATATTTGGGGTTGTGCTGTGTACTACAGCATGTTTAGTGAGGTCCTTATTCTCTACCCATTTGTTGCCAGAAGCACCCCACCCAATTGCGATCTCTCTGGACATTTGTCATGAGGATGAAAAGTACCCTTTGTATGGAAAGTCATTGGTACATTAAGACGACAAAACAGCCTCAGATGCTTTAAGTTTATCAACACAAGTAGGTTTTTTTTTCATTTTTTGGTCACACCTGGCAATGCACAGGGGTTACTCCTTGCTCTGCACTCAGGAATTACTCCTGGTGGTGCTCAGGGGACCATGTGATGCTGGAAATGGAAGCCAGGTCGGCCGCGTGCAAGTCAAACGCCCTCCCTGCTGTGCTATCACTCCAGCCCAATACGAGTAGTTTTGAAAGTCACTCACATCTACTCAGTTCTCCACCGAGTACCATCTCTCTTGGACCACTCTATAAAATCCTCCCCTGTCCCAGGTGTAATTTACTGTTTCTTATCTTAAGTCAACCTGCATCTATAAATGAAGGTGTGCCTGCTTCTGTCAGATTCTGAGGCCACCAACTGTCTCCTCTGGTATCTGGAATATAGCAACTGATTAATAAGCAGTTGTTCAGAGTTGAATTGAATAAAATAAGGAAGAAATGAATAAACGAAATGATGATGTGGCAAGCTCAACCGGGTTTTTGAGCGTGTGTGTGTGTGTGTGTGTGTGTGTGTGTGTGTGTGCAGTCACTCTGGCTATGATTTTGAGGATTTTATAAACACTGCTATTACATAACTAGTGGTCTTCCAAGAATGTAACAGAATAATTAAAGGCAAATATGAGTGTTTGCCAGATTTGCAAGAAAAGTAAAAGATGTTAATAAACAAAAACATGTACACAGGAAGTAACAAAGATTACAATGTCTGAAATAACTCTAAAAGAAACATTTTAATAATCAGAAAGATAAACACTATGTCACATCCATGAAATAACGATGAAAATAGGAGTCACAAAAGAAATTAGAGATTTAAGAAACATAAGAACTAACTGTTGAAACAGGATTCCGTGGGAGATGAAACCATACTAAAGAATGGGCAAGCTATGGGACCAGAGTGATAGTACAGTGGATAGGGTGCTTGTCTTGCATGCAGCTAATGCGGGTTCAATCCCCGGAATCCCATATGGTTCCCCGAGAACTGCCAGGAGTAATTCCTGAATGTAGAGCCAGGAGTAACACCTGAGCATCACCAGGTATGACCCCCAAAATAAAACAAACAAATAAACAAGAATGGATAAGTTCCAAGTTTAGCTGGAATTGCTAGAGGAATAAATGAGATGAAAACGTAAAGGAGCCTGGAGGCACAACAGTGATGTAGAGCACCTGTCTTAAACATGTATGGTCCTGAGTTAAAATCCCCAGTGTCCCATACACAATGAACCTGGAAATTCCTGTCTGAACCTGCCACTCTGCCATCTGTGATCCCCAATCACAGGCAACTGGCACTGTAGCCTGATTTGTATCAGCACCCCAGAGGTGTGACTCCCTACTCACAGAGAGAAGTGTGAATGACTCACATGACAAGGAAGTGTGCCATGTGAGTACATGTTAGAGTTCCACAGTGGCCTCCAAAGAACACCACAATTATAACCTGTGTGCCTCCCCTGAGAGTATGACCCAAGATGGCTTGTGGGCAAGCACCCTCAAGGACTGCAAACCTGGGTGAGCACCGTGACCAAGTGCACTGCAACCTGGTGTGTGACCTCCAGCAAGCACCACAGCTGAAAAAGATGGGAGACCACAGACAAGTGTTTGTGTGTGTGTGTGTGTGTGTGTGTGTGTGTGTGTGTGTGAGCTCTTGGTCACTGTAAACGTAACAACAATGATAATGACTAAGATGGTGATAATAAAAAGGAGGAGGAGCGGAGGGGAACTACAAAAATGAGGAGAGAGAGAGAGAGAGAGAGAGAGAGAGAGAGAGAGAGAGAGAGAGAGCAGGGATTGACCTACTTGCCTTGCATTTGGCCAACTCTAGTTCAATCCCTTCTAGTACATATTAACTCCCAAGCACTGTCTCCCAAGTACTGCTGTCCCAGGACTAAGTACTGAGCACTGTTAGATATGGCCCCCAACTTGTCTGCCCCCTACCCCCAAAAAAGAAAAAATGAACATTTAAAATAAAATGCAAAATATCTATAAGTTCCAACACATACTTAATATAAAACAACAGGAAAAATAATATTTAAAGATCTAGTTAGCTGGAGCGATAGCACAGCGGGTAGGGCGTTCGCCTTACAAGTGGCCAACATGGCCGACCCGAGTTCGATTCGTCCGCCCCTCTCGGAGAGCCCGGCAAGCTACCGAGAGTATTCGATATGCCAGACACAGTAACAACAAAGTCTCCAATGGAGACGTTACTGGGCCTGCTCGAGCAAAAATTATTTAATGACAATGATAAGATAATCCTATGTAGACAGAGCCTAGTGTTCTCAATTATAAACAGAGCATTTTGATAGCTGTTAGAAAGAAAGAAAAAAAGCTCTATCCACCAAGAAAAAATGTCTCCAATTAGAAGGAAATAGACAGCCGTCAGAATGCTTCCTTATTCAGATTACTTATTTTCAAAAGCCCTTCTTGCATTTTGAACTTAGATTGGTCAGTTTTCTTTTTCTTTCTTTCTTTTCATTTTGGGTCACGCCAATTGTGCTCACAACTTACTGGCTCTGTGCTCAGGGATCACTCCTGCCTCAGGAAACCATCTGTGGTATGGGAAATTGAACTCAGGTCAGCTATATATGCTTGGCAAGTGCCTTACCCATTGACCATCTTTCCAGGATCTAGAGAAATAACCTTTTTATGCTTCAGTTTCCTTATTTACGATGGGGAAGAAAAATAATTCCTGCTTTATAGGTTTGTTCTTAGTACTAAATCAGAAAGTGTCAAATACATGTCACAGGAATTGACCACATACACTGGATGTCACAGGAACAATCAGTTAAAAAAAAAAACAATTAAAATGCAAGGACTTGCCCACAGCCAGAACCCTATGCCTGCCTGCTGTCCAAGCACAGGACTTATGCCAGCTGCAGCTAATCAAAAATCTTCTCATTCTAGGTGTGCTAGCCAGACCTAAGAACACTCCCTGCCCAGGGCAAGGTCCTCTGCAGTCCTAGTGGATGCACTCACAGCTGGGAAGCGCAGACTGCTGTCCTCTACCACCTCCTGCACTCTGAAGAAGGGTGGGACTCTACAAGCTCTGAATCCAGTGCCAGATACCCAACAACTAGAAGGGAGGAACAAGATCTACACTTGCCTTTCCTGCTGAAGTACCATTATGTGGTAGTGGAACTAGTTACAAAAACAGCGGCATGAACCACTGTAAAATACAAATCACTGTCACTGTAAAATAACAAATCAGGATAATCAGGAAGCTAAAGTTCCACTGTCAGCACCCACAAAAATCTAAGAATAGTGAGAAAGCAAAGGAATTTATCCGTTTTGACAGGCAGGGCCAGAGGCTCGGGAAAGTCCTCAGTAGATCAAAATTCTTGAGCCTGGTCAAGACGAATTTCAAACCAACGCTCTCTGAGATGTAAATGGAAATCAAGAAATCACTGGAATGGAAATTTAATCAACTCAAACAAGAATAGATCAAAGTGTGAAAGAATGCATATAAATGGAATCGAAGATGCTGAAGTAGACAACAGTAAGCCACAGTAACAGAATTCTGAATGTGAAGAGTCTTATCAGTGAATTTGAAGACAAAATAGAAGCCATCAACAAAAATAAACTGATAATGAAAGAGAAATAAAAGAATGAATAAAATGTAAGACATCTAGTAGATAACAGCAAATATCCAAACTACAGGTATACCAGGAGGAG